GTTTGATTACCAGCCAATGCGCAAGTTGTACTTTTAACAAATTGCCCCTTGAGGTTAATGAAGACTCTTTCTCTAATCATATGTAATATGTAAACAATATATGCCAAATTATGCCATTGATGTATTAAAATGTGTATTAGAAATGTCTATTCAACTGTATATTATAAAACCAAATGATTGAATCTTACATTTCACTGTCTACAACTCAAATCGTTACTAGGTTACTAAGTTGTCTTTATCATGTAAATCAACCCAGAAACCATTGGTTGGCAGTGCTATAGCTAAGATTTTATATATGGAGTGACAGGGACACTAGCGTAAAACAAACAGTGATCTCAAGGTTGTTGCAGAAAAAAAATAAATTTCAGGAAAGTTATTTTACAGAGAAACCTGAGTGCAGTATTTTGGTATTACAATTATATAATATAATCACATAACATATTTAGTACATTTAGCTGTTCGTGAGGTACAGTATGTGCTAATAATTGTTTGTGAATGGGATTTGATAATTGAGAATGCAGATGTTCCAGTGAGCAAATAAACTGAGCTGAATGAGGACAGCAGATCATTCCCAGTGTTATTGGTTTTAGCTAGAACCCTAGATAAACAACTTAAAAGTCTTTGTCTTTGTGTCAGTCCTGCTGGCTGTCTCATTTGACATTAACACCATAATGCCACCTCCACGGGGCATAATTCACTGCAATACAAATATTTTAGTTCATGATACCATTACATGTGTTTTTAGAACATTTTGTTAGTTCAAAGATTAAACTGCTAAAAATAGAAGGTTTACATGAAAAGCATACAGCAAAAGTGTCATTATCATCTCCCTGCAGGGACATTCTGAAGGATGGGGGCTCAGCAGTGGATGCAGCCATTGCTACATTGCTGTGTATTGGAGTCGTCCACCCACAAAGTACAGGGCTTGGCGGAGGAGCAATTTTCACCATTTATGAAAATCCTGGTGAGGACAACCTTCATGTCTGAAGAAGATGTACTGTACAGAGAAAGCTGTAGTCAACTGTATAATATCCAGAGAAAGTAATTAAAGTTTTATTACTAATATCTGGTCCCGGAGAGAACACACACATGGTAGTAAACAAGTGTATTGTTATGGGAGCAGGTCCTGACTCCCATGTAGTGCGTAGTTTAGAACCCCGTGCAGACGGTATAATCCGGAATTGACTAGAAAAGGGCTACGGGAAATTACAGTTAGGAAAGGAAGGGATGGTGAACAGGGGGCGGTGCCGACAGTGATCAGCTACAAGGGGGAGTGCAGGCAAACAAGTCCAGGGAAGTCAAAAACGGGAAATCCTGGCGCAAGTTAAAAGCTGATGCGGGATCTATAACAGGTACAACAGGTTAAAAACAGAATGACGAGGCCAGGCGCTCCGAGCCCGAGCTAGGTCAGGACAGCGATCGGAAGCCTAAGCCCTCAAGCTGCGGACGTGGGGCGACTCGATGCTAGGTTGACCTCTAGGCGTTCATCTTCCAATGCAGGGCCCAGAGCTTAGGAGGCACATAACTTATATGAAACCTTTGAAAGAGTATGGATATTAAATAAAATTAAATACAGTTATTAAATAAAATACTTTTTAGTTGCATTACGCAATGACAAGATCAAATAAATTGTCTGGAAGGCACTTCTCCTTCCTCACCAGCCATGTTCTGAAATTGTCTGGTAAGGTCTCTCCACATTTTGATTCATTCCTTTTCTCGTCATTTCAAGGCACGGTTAAAGTGATTAATGCACGTGAATCTGTTCCCAAGATGTACAGACGTGACCTGCTGAAGGAGTGCACCAATGACTATAGTTCTCTAAAAGGTAGAGTAGTTGTCATTTTCAATATTTTGCTCAAATCTTAATTGTAACATACTGTAATACTGTTACAAATAGGGCAAAGAAAATAGAATACGGAGAGAGAAAATCAATAATTAAAGTAAATAACTATAACCTCCATATTCTCAAAGATATGCCAAGAATATGCATTAACTGTAGTATTGTGGTCATTACATTACAACCATTAATGATGGTTCATTAAAATTATTATCACTGTTGTGAAAACAAAGTTATTGTTTGGATTTAGAGGATAGAAGATATTGAAGATCACTTGCATGTGGAATACTTTATGGAGAGGTCTCCCCAGTCATCCAGGAGCCATTTCTGTTTGGAATAGATGTGCTCTTAACCAATGTGCAATATATTGGAATGCCCGGTTGAGAGATTGAATTCAAGGAAGCCCCTTGTGCCTGATGTCTGAAATATCACGTTTTATATATTTCATACTCAGCACACAGTGAAAAAAGAAATATCCAAAAGAAAAACAGGAAAAAAAACCCAAAAAACACTCTTCTAAAGTCACATGAAAAGTTTTTTTTTCCACTTCTCCTCAATATGTCAAATACTTTGAATAAAAAGTTGAAAATTGAAACTATTAGAACAAAGACAAAAAATGGTCTTGACATGTTTATCTTTGAAAATAATATAATACAATTATGATAAAATTATATTAAAAAAGAAGAAACGTTCCATTAGTTCTATTATAATTGTGTTTTAGGCAATGCTAGAGTGGTTAGTATATAAGGTTCATGTTTTCTAGCTTGTATGAAGCAACAATGATGGTAACAATGAAATACATACTGTAATAAGATAGGTTTGTTCCATTTTTTGAGACAAAACTTTTTTCTCTTTTCTTTAAACATCTATGAACTTCTGAACTGTCATTCAAAACTCTCTGAATGACAGTTTGTTTTGCCTACCAGGGCAGTCAAATTCACAGTCTAATTCTACCTAATACCCCTTGTCTGTTTAATGAGGATCTGCTTTGATTATATTTTTCTGGTTGTTATTTGTTGAGAATGCAGCGTTAAGGTAAGACATTGGTCTTTACATATTTGGTCAAGGCTTTGTTTTTGTGATGTTATTTTTACTGAAACGAAATTAGCAAATTGAAAATGGAGAGAGCAGGTGAGAGTGACAACCCTTGTGAGGTGATATCTCATGTTTGTTATGCTGAAGGCCAAAACAACTTTACTGTTGTACAGGATGATGCTTTTGTTAAAGTTTTGTTTTCACTGTAAAAGAGGCAAACTATAACTTTAGGTTGTTAGTTCACTGGTGACTTTGCAAAGTAGAACAAGACTAAGAAATTTATTGTTACCCTTCCAGTGACACCACTGCACACTAGTATTGGCGTTTCACGGGGAATGACAGCAGCCGAAAGCTTGGGAGAAATTAGAATTGTTTATTGGGATGTGGAGATTTGGTGTAACCCGCTTGGCTGAGGGCCGACCTCCCGGCCGTTGGACGGGGAGGATAGGACCCCCATGGGAACAATTCGGTAGCTGCAAAGGTGGAGGAGGGGTGCAGAAAATGAACGACGAAGAGGAGAGGGTGGCGTTTGATATACAGTATATGGAGACCGGTTGCTTACGTCAGGATTAGTGAGAATTGCAGCAGCTGTGTCGAATGAGTGCGGCTGCCTTCATTCCTCCTGAACGTTCACTAAAAACTCCATTTAAATGTTTATTCTTTCTATGATTAACTAAAGTAATTCTTTGTTAAAAGCAAATTAAAGTTAAACACTGGTTTCTACCCGTTGTTTCTACTTTTTGCTTTAAAGCTGCCACAATAGATTTACACCAACAGTAATAATGAGGAGTGCATTTAAAACACTTCATGCATGCTTTTCAGAAGCGTAAAATGTTATTCTGTTAAATCCTATAAATCATGAGGTGCAATGTGACAAGAATATCCTTAAGTAAACAGATAAAATATTTACAAATATTTACTGTGTTTTTTTAACCTTTATAAAGGGCCCCAGTGGATTGGCGTGCCTGGTCTGATCCGAGGCATGGAGAAAGCACACAGTTTGTATGGCAGGCTTCCCTGGGAGAAACTGTTTGAACCTGCAATCAAACTGGCCAAAGAGGGGGTTAATGTCTCTGAAATACTGAGTTGGTATCTTAACAGTCCAAATCTAAAGAATGCTGTGGAAACATCACCACTGTGGTAAGACATTCAAACACTTTAACCTTTTCTTTTTTTAAAGAATTATGAATGCACGTCAGAGGCATTCAAGCCTAATTTTTAATTTGTTTTATAAATAGACATTAAATGTAATATAATAACACTTACAGATGCAGCCATTCAAAACGAGCGGGGTACACTGCGGTAAAACGCGGTGGGCATGTCACATCACAACTAGTCATAATGCATGATATCGCGTCATTATGTATAATACCAATGTTATGATATTAGTATCCGGAATCACCGCCAGGTGGAGCTAATAAAGCTTAACCTCTCATGTACAGCATTTGAGCTGTCGCCAGAAAACACCTGGTTTCGAATCCCGATCACTGCTGAGGGACAATCTTTATTCAATTAAGAATTTAAGTTGTATACTCTTTAGACTTTTAATAATTTGAAACTGTGTTTAAAGCATGTTAATCATTAAACATTAAAAAGTCGGTATACTTTATAAAAAGTCTTTATGGAAGATATTACTAATATTACTAATAGTATTAATAATGAATTACCTTGGACAGGCTGTAAGCTCAAACTATTACCTTGGTCCACTTTCTTTGTAACTGTCTTTTAAACGAATAGATTTTATTTTTTCATTGACAAAAAGTAACACCACAATACACCACCATAAACTATATTAATTTAGGAACATAAACATATTATATAAATGGTATATGGCTGGTATTGGTAGTTTAAAGAAAAAATACACGCCAGTATTCCATTTTCTTTCTAAATATTTTAAGCATCAACGTCTTACATGTGGTTATTTCGGAAACATTTTTACCTGCACCTTCTGACCATATTAAGTTCATATACTTTGTGAAAAGTCATAATGTTTTAACCTTTTCTGTGAATATGCTCGTTATCGGAGTAAACAAAAGCATACTTTTAGAATTTTAATTAATAGGGAATATAATATGGAATCGTGTATCTAAATAAATTAATAACGATATAATTATATTCATGTACTGTAGCTCAAATAGTAGTATAATATCATTTCTATTCGTAATTGGTCCTGGTAAGTGTGTGTGAGTCTGTGTTTGTGTCCGTTTGCTCCAGTCTGGCATTTTATACGGACTGGCATCCTATACATATCTCTGTGCCTGATTTCTTACTAGGTTATGCTCCAGGTCCACTGATAGAAAATGGATGTATAGAGTATACTTCTTTTAAGTCAATATTTTTAAACAAACTCTCATGCTCAACCTGATGAAGATAAATGTCAGCAGAAATGACAAATATTGTATATAAATATAATATAATGTAAGGCTGTACTCACTGTTGTTGCTATTGCCAACCTGTTCAAGTGCACAAAACTACAAATTTACAGTACTTTGACATGTCAGGTTCCACAATTAATTTCTTTCATGCTCAGATTCATAGGCACTGCCTGGCAGGCAAATTTAGTGAAGGGTTTCACCTCACCAACCCGAATTCATTCTTGGTCGAGATATTTAAACACTTGATTTATTTTTGCAGCCATTCAGGTGTTCTGTGTGATGAGAATGAGACAGTGCTGAAAACAGGGGACAAGATGCGTGCGATAGCTCTGGCCCAAACGATGCAGATCATTGCTGAGAAGGGGGCCAGTGCTTTTTATAATGGGAGTGTGACCAAGACCTTTATACAGGACATACAGCAAAATGGTATTGTATTGACTTGCTATCAAATATATTAAGCACAAATACATTTGACTATATACAGCCTTACTCTAAATAGTATAGATACAGTAAATTACAATCAGTAAGGAGGAGCAGCTTATGATGTGAAATTCTTACTATTGAATTATTTTTAACTTCTAATTAAAGTAACTGTTTAGGGAGTAGTGATATGAGGGTTTTAATTTACTGTAACAATCAGAAATTGCAACAGTAAATTGTGAAAATTCTTGACAACTTTTAGGAAGCAATCATACATAATTATTTGCGGTATCACACACGATTTCCAAAAATTCAGTATAAAAGTTATGGGTATAAAACCAAAAACATGATTAACAAATTAAAAGCAGACTGTATCTGTGAAACGATCTGCTGTGATACGAAAGGTTGATCATTCACTCAGGAATTACAAGATGAGATGAGTTAATAAAAAATCCATCATTATCACTATCGCTGGCCTACAGGTAATTCTAGAGAAGATATACTGTATATGATGTTTAAGCTGTGAACAAGTTTCCTTGCTAGCCTTCTGGTGTTGTGGTGTGCACAGATGATAACAGTCTGTGTAATCTTCACTTGATCGACAGACACCCCAGTGCATTTAATAACTTGTTGAATATGTTATTTTCTGTTCTTTCTTCCTTTGTTGCCCCCTTCTTTGGTTATGTCTTTCCTTCACTGTGTCCTTCCTTTGTTACTTCCTTCCGTCATCATTTCCTTTCTTCCTTCTTAGAGAACACTCAGACCACATATAAACCCCCCTTAAGTCTCTGAATAGTCAGATTTTACTTAATGGCAGCTATTTTAACCTATCAGATCAGCTTTTGCATTGTTTGAAAACAGGCATAGGACCCCTAGGTTATCATCAGTTACAGTATGCTCAAGTTCATCAGGTCATTTTTGTAGGTTCATCTGTTGTGTATGGATGGAATTTGCATGATTGCTGTACATGGTAGGAACATTTAGTTTTATATGTTTGGTTAGTTTTTGCTTTTCTGATTGTATTTGTATCATATAAATGGCAAATTATCAGTGGTCTTTGGAAAATCTCTGAACTGTTTCACCAGATAAGTGGGCTTAAATATTGTGTTACTGTATCTGGGTTAGAAATACACTATTGTGAAGGTTGTCTTGTTTCTCATGACATAAAGTTTGTGGTGATGTGTTTCAAATTTTGCT